TGGCCTTGCCAAGCTTCACTCTGCAGGCCTGGTTCCTTTCCAGGAAGAAACTCGGACCTTGTGCCCTATGTCTTCCTTCCTCCCTTTAACCGTTTGATTGAACATAATTGTCAGATGCATTTAAGTGGGGTCTCTCACCCCTTCCCTTTCCTGCTTTGGCCAGTTAGTAATGAGTAGTCAAGGAACCAAAGGTGGGCAGCGGGACATCTGGCCCCACCAGAGTTGAGAGATGTGCATTGCTTGGGGGGTTTGCAGGTTAACTCTTACTTACTCTGCTTCTGTTTTTCTGTTATGTACAATGAGAAGAAACTAAATATGATTGTCTTTTTTCCCACACGAGTACTGTTTGTGACGTCCACGGCCGCTCTGTTAAACAGTCTTTTGCATCTCTGTGCATATAGGTCACAACCTGCCATATTCATTCATCCAGTGATGATGAAATTGACTTTAAAGAAACGGGTTTCTCACAGGATTCTTCTTTGCAGCAAGTGAGTCACGCCTAAAGCTTTGCTTTTCGTTTTTATACCAATGTTTAGTCTGGTTACCACACAGGAATCAGCTTCCAAGTCCGGTCACACCAAGCATGTGATGGGAGCTGTGTGTGTTAGGCAGAAGCGTTCCCAGTCAGAGAGGGCTCCCTCCGTGATGCAGGCAGACGAGTCAGATTTCAGAAGCGGTGAAGCACTGCACGGGAGGGTGTCCCAGGTTAGGCCGACCTCCACGCTGAGTGACTTGTTGCTTACAGGGCTGTGAGGGGGAAGTTGGTGGGTTACAGTAGTAAGACTTGTTAACTGTGGGTGCAGAGAAAGTGTAACAGAGATCCCTGAAGCAGGTGACTTATTAAAATGGCCCTCCCTGCTAAGGATGTCTCTGCTCCTCCCCTTAAGTTCTGTTACCATAGCATCGAGCTGCACATTAGTTAAAGTAGTTCACTGCCAGCCCTGCCCTCTTGCCCCCAAATTCATTGCCACAGTTTTGTTGCTGGTCATCTAGGGGAAAGTCCAATTCTGAGTAAGCAGTGGCGTGACATCCATTGGTAGTTCTTGGCAAGACCTTTTCTCTCTTCCCCAGGTATCACGTTGTTGTGTGCCGTTGAGTGGGACCCGACTCATAGTGACCTCTCCTTGGGTTTCTGAGGTGGTATCACTACAGAAATAGATTGCCCAACCTGGAGAGCTATAAATAGACGCCACCTGCAGGCTTGCGGCTGTACAGCTGGGGAAGCCTCCCTAGAAGCCGGCACTCTGGTTCTGCACTTTACTGGATGAGGCAAGAGTGCACATAGACCCTGGTCATGGCCACCAGCCTCCTCTCTCTAGGGCCCTGGTGGGGTGTCTCAGGACTGTCCCGGCCCATCTGGTGGCGGTTGGGCGAAGTCTGGTTCAGAGACAGGCTACATACACCCCACTCACCCTTCCAAGCTAGGACTTCAGCAGCCTACCAGCACTTGGCTGGCTTCTGGTTGATTCCTGTGTTGGAGACGGCTGCCCTTTGGAAGCCACACACCTGCAGTCAGAGTCAGGGAACAGCCAGCCTGCAGGGGGAGCTGTGAGGAGCAGGGGGGCCTTCTTGCAGAGTGCAGTGCCCGTCGGTGGCCCCCAGTGCCCACCCCAGCTATGGGAACCCCCTTGTGACTACAGGCAATCTTCTTGGCCCCAGAGCTATCTGGTGTTGTCTCGGGGCGTCCTGACCACGTCTGTCCCCACAAAAGCACCTTTGGGTGCTGACAGGCACCTCACCCACCCACCTGCGTGAACCTGAGGGCGGCACAGTGCTTCACCAGGAGGCGCCTTAGGGTGATCCTGTGCCTGCTGGGTTATTCCTTTAAGAAAAAGAATGCCCTAATCCTCTGTTTGTAACTGGCCTACTGGTTCAGCTTAGACATGGTCACACTTAGGCCTCTGGAAACGGGTCCCCTTACTTCTCACAGACTCGGCTCCCAGGGAGAATTCTTAGGGTGTTTTTGGTTTGACTGACAGCCGATGGCCTGAGCAGCAGCAGGCCCGGTCCCAACACTGCTCGTCCCACCTCCTGCCCAGGCGTCTGCCTCTGCATTCGCCTTCATCTGGGAAGCCTTGGAGACGGCACGGAGGGCACGCTTTCTGATTGACCCTCTTCCAGTGATCTTTCTTTGCATATTTAAACTATAAACCAGCCATGGATCATTCTGGAAGTAGGCCACGTCTACATGTGCTTAGAAATAAGCTCCAAAGCCCTTTTTAAAGCCCAAATGAGAGTACCCGCCTGGGTCAGTTCATGCTGCGCTCCAGGGCCGGGCTCCCTGTGTTGTCTAGCTTCTCACTCAGGTTTAGTCAGGTCTCGTGGTGGCAATGTCCCCAGGTGAGGAGCGCTCAGGGCAGGTCATTTAACAAGGGGACTTAGCGCAGCCCAGCTTTTGTGGGCCTGCCCCCAGCCCCTCCAGGTTTCATAATGTCTGGTGTTTGATTCCTTCCTCCTAATTCTGCCTGGGGGAGGGATGCTGGAAGTGTTGACAGAGTTGACTAGCAGTTTCTGTTGCCCGGGTGGTACTGCCAATGAGATTGCCCTCATGAAGCGGCCAGCCCCCGTCCCAGAGCCTTGACTTCGGCCAGCTGAGAGTGCAGGGAAGGCCTTGAAGTTGCTCTCGGTGGTGACACGGCCACGAGGTGCTTCCCAGAGCCGCGTCTCTCAGCACCTCGGGCACATTTCATGCACCTTTAGATAAAGCACTGGCGAACATCACACCCCTGGGAGCGAGCCTTGGTGCCTTTGTTAGTGACATCACATGGCAGCCTGAGGCAGCCCATTTCCCAGCAGCTCTGATGGCCTTGGAGCTGATGGGGGCTCCTGTTCATTGCTCTTCATTTCCTCATTATTGAATGGGAGGGACCCGTGTCTGCATTTGGTAGAGTACAGACGTGTGTGTGGTTATGCACGTCCAAACAGCATGCAGTGGAGTTAGGGTTCACATTCTGTTGGTGAAGCATTGCAAACATGGGCGTATGTTTCTACCCCCAAAAGATTCATTCTCTGATCTCTGGAGGTAAGAGAAAGGCGGGGCGAGGCAAACGTACCAGTCAGGAGGGCCTTCTCCTCCTGGTGAGGAACACCAGAGTCCCAGTCTGTCCATAGCCTCGGAGCCTGGCGTCTGCTGCTGGCCGCAAACAGTGCCTTCCTGGTCCTTGGAAGGCCCAGGCATCTGGTTTTCCTTAGAAAGATGTCACTACAATTCAGTGTTCTCTTGAATGTTTCCTATCGTGTTCTCCATTTCAGTGTCCAAACTCAGCCCAGCCCCCAGAACTCGTCCCAGCCCTTCTGCTTGTAGCTTGTGCAGTTGTACTGTGGCCCTCCTGCCACCAGCTGAGGGCTGACCCCAGGACTCAGTGTGTTCTCTGTGGCAGCAGCGGGGCAGCGAGCGTAAGAGGAAGAGAAGGGGGCACCATTGTCTTCAATTAGGGAAAAGTGAGATTTTAGTTCCTCCAAAAACTAGATACGCTTTTTATCACATCTGAGGAAAAGATGCCTTCCAAAGCCAAATATAAGGTCTGTTTTTTAATTGTCTGCAGTTTGGATTATCCATGCCATGATTCCCTCCCACCAGAGTGAGCAAGCCAGAGTTAACAGTGTTGGCATTTGTGCAGTGTACATCTGTCTATACAGTGAAACTTACGGACTAGGTTCAGATGTGAGGACCAGGGAGACTCAGTGTAGCTCAGTGGTAGCACTGCCCAGCACTGGCCTCAGCAGGGGCTCGCTTGGGCACTGGCCCGCGTGCCTGGTCGCCTGTGGGATAACTCACATGGCCTGCCCACGTTGTCTCCTGGTCTCCTTCCTCACAGGAACTGCCCACGTTGGCACCTGCCTCCCCCTCACACGGCCTGCCCATGTTGTCCGCTGGTCTCCCCTCTTACACGGCCTGCCCACGTTGTCTGCTGGTCTCTGTGCTCCTTCTCTGGGCAGGAGGAGGAGGCACAATTGCTTGTTCCCATGGCATTCTTCACACTTGCACACACACAGGTGCATGTGCATGGACCTCACTGGCTCCAGTGGTCAGTGCTTATGGTTACAAAAAAACCAAACCCACTGCCGTCAAGTTGTTTCCATCTCATAGCGACGCCCCTTGGGTTTCTGAGGCAGTAAATCTTTACAGAAGGAGATTGCCCAGTCTTCCTTCCACGGAGCAGCTGGTGGGTTTGAACCTTCAGCCTTCTGGTTAGCAGTCAGGCGCTTGAGGCACTGCGCCACTGGAGCTCCTTCTAGTTGTTTCCAGTTAGGTGTGGGCATCTCCGTGGTGCCCGACACAGCCTTCCTCACCCTTAACGGGGAAAAGCCCGGTGGGCCTGGTGCTCTCCAGAGAGCTGAGGGGCTGGGCCAGCTGCCTCCGGCTGACGGTGCTGTAACCTTCCAGAGTGACTGTGGCTGGGTTAGAGCTCTGCCCTCCGTTGGTTGGGAGACCCTTCTGCTTCACAGCCTTCCCATCCTCTGAGACAGTGAGGTGCCCCTAGAGTTCTGTCTGTAGGATTGTGACTGTGGTCATTGGTCACTGCAGTCATCGGTGCTGTTGGGCTGGGCTGGGCTGGACTGGGGGTGGGGCTGGCGGGTGGAGGAGATGGTCTCGATGGAGGGTGGGGGGGCCCACTTGTTGGCTCTCAGCATAAGGTTGGTTGTGTCTAGAGGGCGACTAATAAACCTGATTGTTTCAGACAGTCCCAAAACACCCGGTCACCTCTTTGAACAAATGCCTCTCTAGAGACAGTTTGTCATAGGTGCCAGGTGGTCGCTCCCATTTCTTAAGGTAACACGCACAGGAGAACAACTTGTGGGCCACGTTGTAAATGTTTCCCTTTTTCAATTTGGCAAATAGTGTCAGAAATTATTTGATTTTTCTTTTAGAAAACACACCAACTTTTTAAGCCCTATGGCTGTAGAAATAAAGTGGTTTCTGGAACAGAAGTGGGCAAATAGTATGTAGAATGTCATTAGAATCATTATGTCACTGTCACTGGTCCTGGGGTTGCCAGGCCTTTTCTGATTATCAGATGCAACAAATGACGTCCAATTTTATTGACCAGTTTGGCTTCAACGATGAGAAGTTTGCAGATCAAGATGACATTGGCAAGTGAGTACCACCGTGTCCCCGGGCCACTCTTCCCCCTCGTGGGCTGTTGTTTGAGTCTGCTGGATTCCTGAGGTGGGAGAGAGGGTCCACCCCGAAGCATCACAGGACAGTTAGGACCTAGAGCCGGCACCACAGGAAACAGCACTGGCCTTGACGTGGCTTCTCTCTAAGAGCTTCGTCTTTATTTGATTCCATTTCCTTTAGGAACTCAAGTCGTCGTCCTGCCTGTCCAGGTCGCCTTACCTACAGTAATTAACTCCCACATTGTTGGTTAGTTGATTGGAGTCACATTGATTCACAGCACACAAACCCAGACCAAACCCATTGCTGCTGATTCTGACTCGTAGCGACCCTCTAAGACAGAGGGTCTCCCAGGCTGTCAGTCTTCACGGAAGCAGAGCCCAAACCGCACCCACTGCTGTGGAGTCCATTCCGACCCACAGCACCCCTAGAGGACAGGGGAACTGCCCCACAAGGTGTCCAAGGCTGTCAGTCTTTACGGAAAATGACTCACCTTGTCTCTCGTGAAGTGGCTGGTGGGTTCCAACCATTGACCTTTTGGTTAACAACCGAGCATTTTAAGCACTGTGCCCCAAGGTGCCCTCATAGCACACCAGGTGGTATGAAGTTAGGACGGACCTGTCCACTTTTCCGGCGGTGGTGGCAGGGCAGGCTTACCACGAGTGCTCCCCTCCACGAGACTGCCTGTGAGGTAGACTCGGGTTCTGTGCCAGGCAGTCGGATCACTCACTGTAGTCAGGGGGCGAGGCACCAAGGACTGGAGGGACTGGTGCCAGCCAAGCAGATGGATAGGAGGTGAACCTTGGGAGATGAGACGCTTACAGACAGAGTGGGGGGACAGGGATGTTACAGGTCATTTTTCTCAGCAGCCTCCCATTTCTGCCCGTGAGCTCCGGGATCTGGGCTCTGCGGTGCCTTCCACGAAAGATGCCCAGTGATTGGTTGGGTGGCAGCTGGTGGTGGCTATTGTTTGTCACCAGCTGTAGTTGGTAGTATAACAGGAAGCTGAAGTACTTTCCGGACTCCCCCAGTTGTGCCGCACAGCAGAAGCTGTGGGGTGGGCTCGAAGGCCATCCTTCCCACAGGCCTTCAGAGCTGACTCATTGAAGCTTGAAGAGAGCAGGAACATTGTACCCCAGGAGCATTCCACATGGTGTGGGTTGGATCCACCATGTCATGCCAGACGTGCAGCTCACTACATGGCCTCCCATCGTGGCCTGCCTGTTTCCTCTCAGCATCGCTAGCTGGGAGCCTGTAATCTCTTTAAATCTCATCCGGGGTGCCCAGGATAGTGACTGATGAGAAAGAACCCTTTAGGAGTGTCAGGTAGCCACATCCGCTGGGACACGTTCTGGTTAACAGGCTGGAGAGCTGCCCTTGTGGGTTATGCTGTTAGCGTGAGCTTGAGGCATCCATGTTTGGTCTGTGAGTTTGGGGGTACTTGGAGGAAGGTCTGCATCTGATGACTTTGTGTGCTTTGTTACGTTTTCACTTGTTACTTCGTTGGTTATATTGGTATGATTCCTGGAGCAGTGACGTGACAAGTCTCTCCCATGAAGGCTTCCAGCCCAGTCTTCCTGTCCCCAATACTAAGGGAGGACGCATCATTAAATGCAAGCAGTATCTTTTAGGTTTTTTGGTTTATTGGTTTGCTTGTTGGTGTTTTACACTAGTGTAGATATTTTCAATTTGGAAAATGCCATGAGTGCTGTGTCCATAGTGAGTTTGCGTGTATGTAACTTTTCTTACCCTTTTCTCTTGTTTACAGTGTTTCTTTTGATCGGGTATCAGACATCAACTTCACTCTGAATACAAGCGAAAGTGTAAGTATGCTATTTCCTGTGGTTAGAGCGGGTATCGGAGAGACAGGGGAGTGAGAACAGGGCTGGGTTAGCACCTGCGTGGGGTGCCGTGGGGGTGCCATGCACACTGGGAGCTCTCAGGGAGCTTTTCTTGTAGATACTGGGACGTGGCTCATCAACTCAGTTACCTGCGTGGCCCCTGTGATCACCCATGAACATGGGTGTGAAGCCGCAGGTGTGGGTTCAATTCCAGACCTGAAGGGCAGTGATTGACTTAATTTCAAAGAGAAGACTGCTCCTTGTGCCAGCTGGCTGCCTGTACCCAGCTGTGTGTCACCAAGAGAGACCCATGGCACCATCGGGCCAAGCCTCATCATGGGACAGGTCTCCACATGGACACCAACTGGGTCACAGGGTCTTTACCTGAAAATAACGTGGGATTGATGGCATTTGAATGGGCACAGTCATGGGTTTTGTCTTGGTCAGTATGAGAGACCTCTGATTTCTCACATGATGAGGCAGAGATGTCTGGTTTAGGCCATTGGAGCTTGTCACCGCTCGGCCAGAATGGTGAGAATAGACGAGTTATTGGGCACTTTCCCTGGTTAGGACAGGTCTGTGCCTGCACCTCAGGCCTGGGGACAGAGCAGACGGTCAGGACGTGGCTTGAGCTGCTTCGGTGCTGGATTTGAGTCCAGCCCTAGGGAACCATCATGTTACTACTGACACAGGCGCTAACATCCATTGATCACATTTTATTTTGCTGTATGACGATCTGGTTTTCAAAAGAAAGTGAAAAATGGACGTCAATGATAATACGTAAAAACTGCTGAGCCACTGTGGACCTTTGGCCCCTCCTAGTGTAATCAGGGTAGTTGACATTGATCGCTTCGGGGGAAAAACAGCTTGATTTTAAGTTGGTTTTGTTGTTTTCCTCTCTTGGTTTTTTGTAGGGAAATATTGCCTTGTTTGAAGCATGTTGTAAGGAAAGAATACAACAGTTTGATGATGGTGGCTCCGATGAGGAGGACATCTGGGAGGAAAAACACATTGCCTTTACCCCGGAATCCCAAAGACGGTCCAGGTGAACGATGGCTGGATACCGTAGCACTTCCATCCACGTGTCACACCATCTCAGAACAGCTGGTCCAGAGACCAGCACTCTTTTTTTTCCCTTAACTTTTATTGTGGTGAAGAAATACACGACGAGACAGTCACCAGTGTAACAACTTCCCCGTTCACAGCTCAGAGACGTAGATGCCTTTTTCATGCTGTCCCACCAGAATCACCATCCTTTTCCAAAACACTCCCCCACCCTTAGCAAAAACTCAGTGCCCCACTAACAGAAGCTTCCCTTTTCCCCTCCTTCCTAACCCTGGTAACCACTAAGAATCTGTGTGTGTGTGTGTGTGTGTGTGTGTGTGTGTAGCTCTTGTGGCATAGTGCCTAAGGCACTTGACTGTTAACCAGAAGGCTGGTGGTTCAAACCCACCAGCCACTCCTCGCAAGGAAGGTTGAGCAATCTACTTCCTTAGTGATACTGCCTCAGAAACCCAAGGAGAAGTCGCTATGAGTCGGGTCCAACTCGATGGCAGTGCATTTGAGTCGCTATGAGTCGGATCCAACTCGATGGCAGTGTGTTTGCGTGTGTGTATATATTTTTTTTCCCGATCTATATAGGAATTTTCCCTTCCTTCCTCTCCCATCCCTGGTAACCACCAAAGAAAGCTTCCTTCTGTGTAGAAACGTTTCCTTCACTTTTTTTGACAGTGGACTAATGCAACATTTGTCCTTTTGTGATTGACTTATTTCAC